ACTATCGAAAAAAATTATAGCTTAAAGAGGCTAATAATTGTGATCTTAAATCGGTTTTAAAAAAATTAAAAACTGCTTTTAGTTTAGCCGAAATAAAACAAATAAGACTTTTTCCAGAAGAAAAAATATTATCAGCCATAGTGTGAAAATTTCCTTCCTCTGTTAAACATTATTTGGGAAATATTTAAAAAGAAAAAAATCAAAGGGTACAAGTAAAAAAAAAAAGAAATATTTCTATAACAATTTGTTTAAAATGCTATAATTTCTGTTAGAAATATAGTGCTACAGTATGTCCATTTTTTTGTGATAAGTGATATTAAATAATCATATTAAAATAAAATTCAAATAGCATATTACAAAGGAAGTGTTTACTGACTTTTATAAAAAATAAAATGTGTTTTATACTCAGTTAAACATTTATCTAAAAATGAAAACACACTTATTCTGACATACTAATTAGAATATATCAGAACATACACATTCTGACTGAATTAGATATATAAGAATAAAAGTGATCATACTAAATTTGGTTATGTTTAAACGATTGAAATATTTCAGATTATAATGAATGAGGATTTCGGAGCCAAACTGTGATCATTCAGTATTTAAATCAGATTTTTGCTATTATAAATATTGTTGCACGAAATTACATTTTTACGTTAGTGGGAGTCTTCTGATTATGAATTAAATCACTTTTTACCTTTGATTCATGCATGGATTATACAATTTTGTATAGATTTTAATTTAATTTATTCAAACAAAAATCTAAAATTGAGATGCTCATGTTCCTGCAGGTCAGAAACGGACACATAAAGCGCATCACAGACAATGACATCCAGTCTCTGGTGCTGGAGGTGGAGGGAACCAACGTAAGGTGAGTGTGTGTCTGTCTGATCTGAACACATAGATCAAGTATCTTTATGGGGACGTCCCATAGGCATAATACTGTTTCTACTGAACAGACTTTACATTCGCTCTTTTTACCTCTAAACCAAACCCTCACAGGAAACAATCTGCATTTTTACACTTTCAAAATACTTAATTCTGTCTGATTTATGCGCCCGTTTCCTCATGCGGTCACAAAAATGTCCCCAAAAGGTCAAAAATTACTGGTATTGCTATACTTGTGGGACATGTGATCAAAAGCATAGCAACTAACCATAATGAGAACAAGGTATACACACTCAAACACACACACACACACACACACACACACACACACACACACACACACACACACACACAGAGCCTTGCTGGTGCTGACCTGTGTATCTGATCTGAACACACACACACACACACACACACAAACACACTGCCTGGCTGATGCTGACCTGTGTATCTGATCTGAACACACACACACACACACACACACACACACACACACACACACACAAACACACTGCCTGGCTGATGCTGACCTGTGTATCTGATCTGAACACACACACACACACACAAACACACACACACACACACACACTGCCTGGCTGATGCTGACCTGTGTATCTGATCTGAACACACACACACACACACATACTGACCTGTGTGTCTGATCTGAACACACACACACATACTGACCTGTGTGTCTGATCGTCCTCACAGCACCACATACATCACGTGTCCGGCAGACCCCAAGAAAACCCTCGGCATCAAGCTTCCTTTCCTCGTCATGATCATCAAAAACCTCAAGAAGTATTTCACATTCGAAGTTCAGGTGGGCAGATGTTTATGTGTGTTTCTCTTGGAGCTTTTCTAGTTTATTTTTGTCAGAACAGAAGTTGCGATGCTCTTTTCTTCACTGTTGTGATGCAAATATAAAAACTGATGTTGGGGCGGGGCTTGATCGTGTTTAGGTGGTCGTATTTTGCCATTGGTGGATTTTATATGATTGACAGGTTGATCCCGCCCTCACACCACTTAACATCAATCAAAGAGTTGACCTGATTTTGGTATAACAGTTTTATAATGCACCTGTACATTTAGAAGTGTTGGTTGTTGTTTTGTTTTTTTTTGTTTAATATATAAAATTAAATATTATAATAATATTGACCTTAAAATAGGTTTAAAAAAATTAAATCTGCTTTTATTCTAGCTGAAATAAAACAAATCAGACTTTCTCCAGAAGAAAAAATATTATAGCAAATACTGTGAAAAATTCCTGAATCTGTTCAACATCATTCGGGAAAAACAAAATTCACCGGAGGGCGAGTAATTTTGACTTCAGCTTACAGTACATGACAAACTTTTAGGACACGTCCATCGGGTCACAGTAGAAACATTACTGCTCTTCTCAGTGTGATGGATGAGCTGGTGAAGGCTTGTTTTGTGTGCTCAGGTTCTGGATGATAAGAACGTGCGGCGGCGCTTCCGAGCGAGTAACTATCAGAGCACCACGCGTGTGAAGCCCTTCATCTGCACCATGCCCATGAGGCTGGACGACGGCTGGAACCAGATCCAGTTCAACCTGTCCGACTTCACCAGGAGAGCGTACGGCACCAACTACATCGAGACGCTGCGAGTGCAGGTAAACCACAAACAGCCACAGTCCTGCGTCAGCGAATGAGGAGATTTTGATACTCTGAATTAAATAACATGTTTCAACGTATTCCCCTCATTCATTTAGACGCACTTTGATCTAGGATGAACTTTCCTGTTATTGCTGCCCTGGCATCAGAATTATAACTTGATTGCTAGTAAATACAAACTTCCCAGGACTCAACTAGCCGTACACGTGTGTGTATGTACACACTACCTTACAAAAGTCTTGTGGTCTATCCAATATTTTAGGAACAGCAAATAATAAGTTGACTTCTAGTTGATGATTTGCTATCAGAAGTGTCTTATATGAAAGGCGAAAGCCTCTAGATGAGGCTCATTTTACCTAAATTAAATCTGATCATGCCTTGATTATTAATGATTTGATGAGGACAGTGCGGTCTGACTCTGCTCAGACTAAAGTGTCATCACTGAACAGAAATAATGTCCAGTATAGAATATAAAGTCCTGCTGCAGTGGAGACGGAATGAATATTGTGTCTGACTCCATCATGAGTGGAGGACTGCATCCATACATCTCTGACATGACTCACTGATTAATAAAATCATCTGGAATGGCGAAGAAAGCTTTCTTGCAGAGCTCATCAAGAGTCTTTGTGTTCATCTTCAACGCCTCCTCCTTCATCTTACCCCAGACATGCTCAATAATGTTCATGTCTGGTGACTGGGCTGGCCAGTCCTAGAGAACCTTGACCTTTGCTTTCAGGAACTTTGATGTGAAGGCTAGCAATTTAATATAAATATTGTAAATTTTGATTTCAAGTATAGTTTAAATGTGCTTTTTGAGAGTTTTTTGTTTTTAGATTTGTATTTTAAAAATGCATATTTTTTATTTGTAAATAAATTTAAGTTAAAGAGTTGTATGTGAGTGTGTACATGTGCACAGACCTGTCATGTGGTTGCATGATAGTGAAAATACATAAAAATATGTTGAAAGTTAGCCCTCTTGTGAAATGTTTACATTTAAAAATGAAAAAAAAAAAAGATTGTCTTCAGCACATTTCTAATCATAATAGTTTTAATAACTGATTTATTTTCTTTTTGCCATGATCACAGCACATAAAATTAGACTTGATGTTCTTCAAGACACTAGTATTCAGATTAAAGTGACATTTAAAGGCTTCACTAGGGTAATTAGGGTAAAGTTAGGGTAATTAGGCAAGTGGTTTGTTCTGGAGCTGAGTTCAGCTGTTACTGCATTATAAACACTGCTATTAAGAACAGAAGTGACTCAGATTATTAACAGTGTCATGATGTTCATCTTGATGTTTGTCAGATTCACGCAAACTGTCGCATCAGGAGGGTTTATTTCTCAGACCGGCTGTACTCTGAGGACGAGCTGCCTGCTGAATTTAAACTCTATTTACCAGTACAGAACAAAGCAAAGGTGAGCATTAACATGCTTTAAAGGAGACCTATTATGAAGAAATCACTTTAGGTTTAAACACAGGTGTGTGTCAGCAGTGTGTGAAAATATCCAGCTTCTAATAGTAAACATGTATTAATTCCATTGTTTATAATCAGACTTGATTAAACAGTCTGCAGAAACACTTTGATTGACATTCTCCCTTTGTATGATGTCATCAGAGGGGGAAAGCCCCGCCCACTAGTGACCATCTCTCCCTCATTTGCATATGATGTTTTGTCTTATGTCTTGTTTTTGAATCTGCCACTATGCTGACACACAGGCATTTATAGCCCCGCCCTATTTTGAAAAATCTCATTTGAATTTTAAGTGAAAGTCGCCAAAACACCACAATTAGGAACAAAGCCTAAAAGGGTCAGTTTCAGAAAGTTAGAAAACATTATTACGCCCCATTCACACAGGGCGTCTACGTCAACGCTTCCCATTTACTTTGAATGGGTGACGTCAGGCGTTGACGAACTGTATTGTGGATCCGTCGGCGCCGCTTCAGAGGCGTTGCTCGGTGCAGAAGTTGGGACTAGCTCAACTTTTCAAGCTCCGACGGAAGCGTCAGCCAATCAGATCGCTGTATGCAAATACACCAGCTAGACAGTGGCCTATTGCTGACTGAATTTCATTGGCTGATGCTGCTATGACGATCGCGGTAGGCCCAACTTCAGACACGCCTTCAGTCAAGCGTTGACGCTGAAGCCCCGTGTGAATGGGGCGTTAGTGTGGTATTTTGAGCTGAAACTACACACACACTAGGGACATCATAGGCTTATATTACATCTTGAAAAAGCCATAGTAGGTCTCCATTAATGTTAATGTTTCCATTATATCACAGTGTATTAACCTTCTATATTCTCTCCACAGCAGTGACGGCAGGGTTTCTCCACGCTTCTCGATCTTTCTGTTGTTTTTTTCAAGTGTTGTTTCGCATCTGTGTGACTGCTTTCCTTCTGATGATTAAATATTTTATATGCACAAAGTGAACTCGGAGGGCTGTCTGATTATTATGAACATCACATTTCATACACAAGCTGTTTTAAAAAGTTTATTCGACATGAGCGGGTACAAACTGGAATAGATTCTGCTGGTTGTTTAGTTTAATCTGGTTTTGTAGAAACGCATTTAAAAATGGCATTTTCTTATTGCATTTGCAATGAAATCAAGCGAGTTTACCTCCCGCTGCTGTGATAAACATCAATCTAGACATGTTATCCAGATCCAATACAGTGAAAAGACTGATATAAAGGCTTAAAAACGTACAAATAAACAGCTGTAATGATGAACACTCACCGGCCACTTTATTAGGTACACCTTACTAGTGCCCGGTTGGACGTCTTTGTGCCTTCAGAACTGTCTGAATCCTTCATGGCAGAGATTCAACAAGCTACTGGAAATATTCCCCAGAGATTTTGCTCCATATTGACATGATAGCATCACGCAGTTGCTGCAGTCGGAGAATTCTCTGTAAACCCTAGAGATGCTTGTGTGTGAAAATCCCAGTAGATCAGCAGTTTCTGAAATACTCAGAGCAGCCCGTCTGGCACCAACAACCATGCCAAGTTCAAAGTCACTTAAATCCCCTTTCTTCCTCATTCTGATGCTCACATTGAGATCGTCTTGACCTTGTCTACATGCCTAAATACATTGAGTTGCTGCCATGTGATTGGCTGATTAACGAGCAGTTAGACAGGTGTACCTAATAAAGTGGCCGGTGAGTGTATATACACCATAAAATCACATTTAAATAATATTGCAAGTAATTAATCTTTTTGGCTTTATCATTTTCACAGATATATAAATGTTTATAAGTCTCATTTGTACATTTTCCTAATCAAAATGAACAGCAAATACTAAAATCGAGTAAAAAAAGCATGTTACATTCTTCTAGAGGCTGACAAATGTCATGCAGTCTTCAATAAAGTGCCAGAAACTCACAGATTGAATCAAACACACCACCAAAAGCACAAATCTGAAGTAAAAACATCACATGAATATAAATGACACGCACGGATGATTCAGTGTTCGCGATGACGTGCTGCTTTGGCTCGGCAGTGTTTGCGTGGGATTTAAAAACACGTCTGCTCACCTTCCAAGTGCCTTTATCAATAATAATCAGTCATTTAGATAAAAATCTGAAATCTCCCTCCTGAAAATAGACGCATTGTTTCTTTACATTCAACATTATTGCGGAAGCGGCTGCGTCACGGCGCTGCGGCCTCAGACGCGCTGCCATAATGCAACACGTAGTAGTCGTGGACGTACATGAGCACTGCGATTGGCTGGCCGATGATCAGAGACATCCACACGGCGGCGTTGCCATAGTTACCCCTCAGGTATCGGCCAACCAAAATGGCCAGCGGGACCTGGAAGAGATTTTCAGATATGCAAAAAATACACGATTATCACAACTTTTATTCGGGACAGTTTTAAGTTTTTGTCTGTGCAAATTTTAGTTTTTGCCTCAGAATATTTCAAATAGAATAAAAAATACACAAAACTACTAAAATTGTGAGACAAAAAGGTGAACTAAAAATATCTGCATTGCAATATAAAGACTGTCTTACAATTTTGACTTTATTTCTAGTCATTCTCCATTAAATTTAGTTAATTTTGAATATTTCAGCATTTAAATTGCAGCTGCTTGTGTTGTACATCAAGTACAAAATCACAATTCCTTTTTAGCTTAGTCCCTTTATTAATCTGGGGTCGCCACAGCGGAATGAACTGCCAACTTATCCAGCACATGTTTTACGCAGCGGATGCCCTTCCAGCTGCAACCCATCAATGGGAAACACCCATACCTTGTCATTCACAATCATGCACTACGGACAATTTAGCTAACCCAATTCCCTTATAGTGCATGTGTTTGGACTGTGGGGGAAACCGGAGCACCCAAAGGAAAACCCACACCAACATGGGGAGAACATGCAAACTCCACACAGAAATGCCAACTGACCCAGCCGGGGCTTGATCTAGTGACCTTCTTGCTTTGAGGTGACAGTGCTAACCACTGCGCCACCTCGTCAGGCAAAAACACAATTGTAATTGCAAAATTATAATATATATATGTGTGTGATAGCAACTTATTATTTTACAGTTTTAATTTCCTTAGTTTGTAAGTCAGATTTTTAAGCTTGTTTTTTTTTAGTTTTGCAACAAAGAAACTTACAATTGAAATGGAATTGTGAGAAATTTTTTTTTTAGCTTACTATCGCAATATTTTAAATTTCTATAGCAAATCTGATATTTAAGTTTGCAATTTGGCTAATAAATTTAAATGATTAAAATGTAATTTAAATAGTTATATTTTATGTTATACATCAAATACAAAGTCAAAAAAAAATATATATATATAGTAGCATATATATATATATATATATAGCGCTCAGCATAAGTACACCCCTCACAACTTCATCTTTTAAGTTCATATTTTTAATATAAAGCTCTACAATAATATATGTGTGCATATAGATTATATTAGTCAGTACTTTAGCCAAATCTGGAGCTTATCTAAGAAAATAACTAATGATAACGCTTCAAAAACTAGTACAGCCACATTTATATGTTATAGCAAAATATATAAAAACAAATTTACAAAAGAGGAAAAATGAAGAGAAGCAAAAAAAATGAACAACTTAGTTGAATTTCTATAAGTTGTACTTAATTTTTGCAATATTAAGCTTGAATTTAATTGTATTTTCTTTCAATTTCTAAATAAGTTTGGAGACAAAAATATTATTTTAATAAATATATCTGTTTAATAAATCTGTTTTGTTCAAATGCACCAAAATTCACTGCCTATATTCACTGAGAAATTTTCAATTTTCAAAAGTCATTTGTAATAATTATTATATAAAATATTCATTATATATAATGTTTTTATTTATGTTCTTTCTTTATATAGTAGTAAAATTCTGACATACAAACTTAGAAATTTGAACATAAAAAGTTGAAATCTCTTAATTCAGGTTGATTTTTTTCAGAACTGTAACTTTATTTTTCCATAATCTGAATTTCAATCTCACAATTTCATTCTTTTGCACCGATAAGCTGTAACTGAAATAATTATAAATAGAAAATTGTGAATATTAAAATACAGAAAAATACTATGAAATGAACAAGATAATTGTGAGATGTCAAATCACAGCTGCAAAAAAAGTAAGTCGGAAGTGAAAAGGTCAGCAATACCTTATTATTTATTCTTTTTCCATGTAAATGTGAAATGATGTCATTTCTATCTGATGTTTATTAGCAATTATTGATGATTAAAATGACTGACCTGCAGCATCATACCCAGAAACGCCCAGAGCCGAAACATCTTGAGAGGAACACTCACTAAATACTGAACAGAACAACATCAAACCCCATCAGCACTATTAAACACGGGAAAATAATCATAAAGTGTAATGATGAAGTAGATGAGAGAAGTGAAACCTCGTGGAAAAAAGCGGAGAGGAAGAAGACGGCGATCTGAGCTGCTAATCGATTTGCTCCTCGCATCAACATGGGCTTATAAAAGTGTCTGAAAAACATCAGAAATCAGTCAAGCTTTCCATTTCAGTCAGAATAACAGGTGTTTTAGGATGACCGTCTCACCGTAGGCACCACTTGTGAACAGGAATGTTCCAGTTTGACCAGAAATAAGGAATCGTTTCAGAGTTCCTGCAAAATTAATGAATATTAATTTATTAAACACACAAAATGACACATTAGTCATCATGGTTTGCTTGTTTGAAAGCTCTGAATGATGGTAAACTCACCACCAGTCGCGGTAAAACTCGCGGTCCCCGAACTGCATGATCTCTGCTACGAAGTTCATAGAGGAGTGGAAATACCAATAGAAAAAGATGAGCCAGATAAAGTGATTGGGCACCTGCAGAGGGACAGGGAGAAAGGGGCGGGGCTTGTGCCATTAGACATTCAGAGGAGGAGGGGCCACAGACATGACGTGACCATAGCAACGACAGCCGTCAGCGTGCAAAGCTCAAGCTGCTTCATTCTGATTGGTCAATCGTGGCATTCTGCGTTCATATTTTTGTATGGAGTGCGTTAGACCCCGCCCACTTTTTGAGCAGATTGTTTTTTTATTCATGTTTTATTCAGTCAGTCAATCGATCAATCAGTCAGTGAATTAATTAATCAGTTAGTCAATCAATCAGTTAGTCAATCAGTCAAGCATTCAATCAGACGATCGATCAATCAATCAGTCAATCAATCGATCAATCAATCAGTTAGTGAATCAATCAATCAATAAATTGATTTGTCAATCAATCAGTCATTTAACCAATTAATTAATCAATCAGTCAATCACCTAATTAATCAAATCTGTCAACTAATCAGTCAGCAAATAAATTGATCAGTCAATCAATCAATTAATTAGTGCATCAAGCTGTCAATCAATCAATCAAACAGTCATTCAGTCAGTCAATCAATCATTCAATCAGTCAATTAATCAATCAATCACTTAATCAATTTGGCAACCAATCAGTCTGTCAATAAATCGATTAGTCAATCAGTCAATCAATCAATCAATCAATTAGTTAGTTAGTGAATCAATCAGTAAATCAATCAACCAATCAGTCAATCAATCAGTCAGTCAGCCAGTCATTAAATCAGTCAATTAATTAATCAATCACTTACTTAATCTGTCAACCAATCAGTCTGTCAATAAATCGATTAGTCAATCAGTCAATCAATCAATCAATCAATTAGTTAGTTAGTGAATCAATCAGTAAATCAATCAACCAATCAGTCAATCAATCAGTCAGTCAGCCAGTCATTAAATCAGTCAATTAATCAATCAATCACTTACTTAATCTGTCAACCAATCAGTCTGTCAATAAATCGATCAGTTAATCAATCAGTTAGTCAATCAATCAATCAGTTAGTGAATCGATAAGTAAATCAATCAATCTACCAATTAGTCAGTCAATCAATCAACCAATCAATCAATCAATCAATCAATCAATCAATCAATCAATCAATCAATCCATCAGTCAATCAATCAATCAATCAATCCATCAGTCAATCAATCAATTAATCAATCAGTCGGTCATTCAATCAGTCAATCAATCAATTAGTCAATCTCATTTGCAATTTTATTTGAAATACTTCAAAAGAGTGGGCGGGGCTAAATATTTGCCGCACTTTGCTCACTGCAACTCTGATTGGTGGAATGTTCGGTGGAGCATCATGGGTAATGTAGTTTTCTGCATGATTTCCGCTATTAAACATGGTTGTTTTTAAAACGTTAGTTGAATTGACGTCAACAGATGGGTTGAGAAAAACCGTTTAAAAAATGTCCGAACACATAAATAAGCAGTTTGAAAGAACAGCAAGTCATTTTGGAGAGAGAGGTTATGTTAAAAAACATAATTAATTTGCATATAGAGAAAATAAATAAATTAGTTTTTATTCATCGCACACTATAATGTTTCTAAACGACATAATTCAGCTGTAATATTAGTGAGAGTATTTTTGTGTGTGATGTTTTCACCTGATTGGCTAAAAACAACAAAGCCGTTTACAATCAGACTTCAAACAAATGTTGACAACAGCCTGAATTTCACACAGGTGCCAGAGTGAAAGCAGCAACCGTAAGCATAGCAACAGCACCTGCAAAAGCCCTAGCAACAGCATCCATGACAACCGCAGCATCTCTTCGTGACACTTACAGCGAGTTTCAGCATCCGCTCCACCATTCTGGAGAAATCCATGTCCTGTTCAGAGACAAATACATGCAAATGAAGCATTTCTGCATATCAAAACATTAAATCCATACATTTAAACACATTATAGACACAAAAACATCTGTCAGGTTTATTTCCAGAACTTTTACTTTCTCTGGTCCTCAGCGGTGGACTGATCTTCATTTAGTTCTTACATGTTTTTGCTCATTTTAGGTCAGTTTTTATCTTAAATATTTTCGTTATATTATAGAATCACATTATAAAGTATGAATCATAAAATATATTAAATGAAAATAATGAATAAATATATGAATAAAAAATACATCAAACACACATGCAAACTCTTTTTGTCTTTTATATTTGTTTTTGTCTTTTTATATTTTATTTTTAAGTTTCTATAAACTGTTACACATCAAGTAAATGTATTATTAAATAAATAATAATATGGTGTAAATAATGATTATTTTTTAGCATTGTAACTTTATTCAGGGTAAAAACATCAAACTGAAATCATACCTGAAAGGGTTTCATAGAGTTCTGAATCGTCGGAACCATCCACTAACAAAGAGAAAAATAAAGTCTTATTAAAACCTCATGCTTTATATATAAACACATCATATTTTTAAACTAATTTAAACTATTAAAGCTGAAAAACAAACTATTGATGAAATTGTGAAAATTATTTTTAATTAATGGAACATTTTCCGAAGGCAGTACGGTGGCGCAGTGGGTAGCACAATCGCCTCACAGCAAGAAGGTCGCTGGTTTGAGCCCTGGCTGGGTCAGTTGGCATTTCTGTGTGGAGTTTACATGTTCTCCCCGTGTTCATGTGGGTTTCCTTCAGGTGCTCCAAACTGTTCATTTTAAACATTATTTCTAAATAATATTGATCATGCTGTTTATTATAAAGAAATAACGCTTTTTACAGAAAGATATATATATATTTAATGTAGGAAATACTCTGTTTAACAGTACTTGAAAAAAAAAATAATAATACAAATTTCATAAGAGGACTAATAATGTTTTCTGCAGCACAGGCTCATTGTGAAAACGTACCCCTGTATACATTTCTGAAGAGCGCGAATTATGTAGCCAGAGGTATGGCTGCATTTTGTCTTTGAAACGTACGCTGCGGGACGGTATAACACCGACGACGGCTTCAGTTTCTTTTCGTGCTACCAGCTGACCGCTTACCTCCGTATTGACGGCTTTTCTACTGTTACCTGTTTGTCCAGTGGCTCACCATGTACGTTGGCAGACTTGAGACGTAGAGAGGAGTTGACCGCAATGATTGGGTTCAAGTCCAGAGAAGAACAGTTTCAGAGAGCAGGGAAGACAACAACAAAATTAAAAAAATAAAATAAGCGAGTAAATAACAGGGTGAAAACGTGGTAAGACCTGAAAATGTGGTAAAAATCAGGCGGCTGAGAGGGCTTTTCTTGTTCTGGATGGCTTTTGAAAACACTATTGATTGGGTTTGAGAAAGTGGGTGGGTTGGGGGATCAGTCAGTCAGTCAGTTGATAGCGGCCTCTGGTGGATTTATGTGAGAACAGCAGGCGTGAATGGCACTCGCGAGAGAAATTTGAAATCTGAAAAAGCGTACACAGCGGCCTCTGGTGGACTCACAAAAACAAAAACTGCAAAAAAAAAAAAATAAACGCACCTCCTGTGACTTATTTCACGCTCTCCAGAAATGTATACAGGGGTACGTATCAATAATGAGCCTGGGTTCGTTTTCTTGCATACCTGCTGTATTAATCCGACCATCAGTTGCATTAGAAACAGCTGCAGGAAACAAATACAGATTAGACTTTGTATGAAAATCAAAGAAAGGGCAAACATTAATCTCAGGTTTGATTCTGCGGATTTCTCACCATCTCCAGCAGTCGCCGCAGTAGGAAACGTTTGCGTATTCGTGGTGAGCGCGGAAAATTCAGCTCGTAACACAGAGTCGGTGCAAAAGCAAAATAATAAATGTCTGCAAAAAATGATGAAGTAAATTAAACAAATAATAATTAAACTTGTTATTAATGCAATTTTTATGAAGAAAACGAATATATATATATATATATATATATATATATATCAGATTTTAAAGGGCACCTATTATGCCGATTTTTACAAGATGTAAAATGCGGCTCTGATACCACACAAGTAATAGCACACAGATAACGTTTTCTAACTCTCTGAAACTGACCCTTTTAGACTTTGATCCTAATTCTGTCGTTTTGGTGACTGTCGCTTTAAATGCAAATGAGATTGTGCTCTTTTGAAAAGAAGGCGGAGCTACAAGTGCTTGCGTCTTAGCATAGTGGCAGATTCAAAAACAAGACTAACTTCATATGCTAATGAGGGAGAGATGGTCACTAGTGGGCGGGGCTTTCCCCCTCTGATGACATCATACAAAGGGAGAATGTCAATCAAAGTGTTTCTGCACACTGTTTAATCAAGTCTGATTATAAACAATGGAATTAATACATGTTTACCATTAGAAGCTGGCGATATTGACACACTGCTGACACAAACCTGTGTTTAAACCCCTTATTAAAGTGATTTCTGCATAATAGGTCCCCTTTAATGCATAAATATCTTACATATTATGTCTAATGACTGACCTCTGTGTGTGAGGTTTCCCGGATACGTCACGTGTGTGTATCCCGCTGTGCCATTTGCTTTGTGCACGGACGGACCTGCAGGAGAAAGTTACACATTAACACACTCACAATATTCATTTATTTTCCTTCGGCTTTCTTCATCAGGGGTCGCCACAGTGGAATGAACCGCCAACTATTCCAGCATATGTTTTACACAGTGGATGCCCTTCCAGCTGCAACCCAGCACTGGGAAACACCCATATACACATTCACACTTATGCACTACAGACAATTTAGCTCATCAATTCCCCTATAACCCATGCCAACACGGGGAGAACATGCAAACTCTACAATTGACCCAGCCGGGACTCGCACCAGCGACCTTCCTGCTGTGAGGTGACAGTGGTAACCACTGAGCCACCGTGTCCATAAATATACTATAAATAAATAATCTACATAGCGTTTTTTATTGTATAGTACTCTTTTACACAGTAAATTTTCAGGGGAATATTATTATGATGTGAAGTTTGTACTCACAGGAGTGAGAGCGAGACAGGGTTCGAGCTTTGGCTTGTCTCTGTTCTCGGCACCACTTATTAACATCTGTGTACGAGTAAAGCTTGAGGAAGAGAACAGTGCAGATACTCAGTGCCATCACACCGCCCACTGAAACACACACACACACACACACACACACACACACAGCAAAACTTCACAATTTACACAAGATTTAGCTATGGAATACTATAGAATCACCACAACAGATGAATTTCTATAGGGGTTGTGTTACCATAGCAACAATAGAATCATCACAACAGATCATTTACTATAGATGTTACCATAGCAACTATAGAATTACCCTCAACAGATTAATTACTATAGTTGTTGAGTTACCATAGAAACAATATAATCACCACAACAGATTAATTACTATAGTTGTTGTGTTACCATAGCAACAATATAATCACCACAACAGATTAATTACTATAGTTGTTGTGTTACCATAGCAACAATATAATCACCACAACAGATTAATTACTATAGTTGTTGTGTTACCGTAGGAATTATAGAATTACCACAACAGATTGGCTGTGTGTGACATTGCATACTTCCCTTCTATTTAGTACATTTAAAACAAGATGTGATGTTTTCTGAAAAGGTGAAAGTGCACTCTGGGTAAAGGTGTTATTTTCACCTGGTGTGACGGAGCTCAGGCTTAGCACCGTTCCTGCCGGCACAAACAACAGTGCAGACAGATTGATGCAGTGAAGGAAAGATCCGGTTCTCTCAGAGATGGTGCCCTGAAATGAGAAAAGGCCATACAAATGAATCAGCACTAAATAATACAAAAAAAAAAAAAAATTTTATTTAAATAAGTAAAAATAAAATAAACGATAAATTAATTAATTAATTAATTTATTAAATAAATAAAAGACAAAAAATAAGTAAGTTAAATTAAATTAAAATTTTATATAAAATAATAACATAAAATAATAATTAAAAATAAAATAAAATATAAAAATGAAAATAGAATTTAATAAAATAAAATAATAATAAAATAAAACATAAAATAAAAATAAAGAATAAAATAAAAGTAAAAATAGAATAAAATAGATCAAATAAAATACAAATTAAAATAAAATACAATTAAAAATAAAATTAAATAAAAAATTTAATAAAATAGAATTGAAATAAAACTAAGTTGAATAAAATAATAAAAATATGTAAAAAGATAAAAAATACATATATAAACAAAATAAAATTAAATAAATAAAAATAAAAGAAACAATTAAAAAATTAATTAATTAACTAAATAAAAAAAGAAAAAAACTAAGTTAAATTAAATTAAAATATTATATAAAATATAAAATAAAATAATAAAAAAATATAAATTAAAATAAAATAAAATATAAAAATGAAAATTAAATTAAATTAAAAAATATAAAAAATAAAGAATAAAATAAATAAATATAAGTAAAAAATAAAATAAATAAATAAAATAAAAAAGAAATAAAAAAGAATTGAAATAAAACTAAATTACATAAAATAATCAAAATCTCTAAAAAATACATTTATTATTATTATAATTTTTATTATTATTTATAAATAAAAAAAATTAAAATAACGAAAAAATATAATAATAATAATGGGAAGAAGAATTATTATTATTATGCTTTAATGTGTTGTGATTGAACATTAGGGGTTTTCCTCCAAATATTGATAACTTGTCTAAAACATGGCACCTTTATGTTATTTCATGCAAAAAAAAAAAACAAAACTTTAAATCATACATTATTGTTTTAATATAAGAAGAAATGTCATCAATAGTTTACACAAAAAAATAAATAAAAATATATGTGATTATTATTCATAACTGGGGAGACACTGAAAACTTTAAAGTGGTCTCTTTATTTGAATTCCAATTATGTACCTCAATATATGGATAGTTTCCTTTCTGAATTATTAATTAAATTATTAAAGTTTTATTGTGTTATTTTAGTGCTTCAATTAAATATGATCTGCATAACAGACATGATTATGATTGATTCAGATGTTAAATGTGCTTAATTGTTATATAAAAAAAGAAAAAAAATATGTATATATAATTTTCTCTGTTAATTCTGTTTGTGAGATGTAATAATGTTCAGTATTAATGGTAATTCAGTAATATCTGCAATCTCAAGGTTCAATCCCAGCATGCAACTCACCACAGACAGCTTTCTCTCGGTGTACAGAGCCGCCATTATGAAGACGTTAGTGACTGGAAAGCAAACAGATCAGACACGCTTTACTGAACAGAGCGTGTGCGGAATATGAAAATGTGATTGTATGATTATCATGATGTTATGAATATTAATCGCACCGATGATCAGGCACAGAGCCGGCCAGCTGCAGGGGTCCTTCACGAACAGAGAGATGATCTGGATGGGGTCCACCAAAACGCCATATCTGAAAACACAACCATAAACCAGGAAAAACACATTCATAAATGACAGAAAACACTATTGTTATCACATATATTCCATGTTTTACTGTCATTAAAAATTGCAGCCTGATTTCTAATGTTGCTAATGAGAGTATATTGAATAATTGTTTGTATTGTGTCCAATGTTTGTCCTGTATTCTGCAAATCAAGGCACAATTATGTATTTTTATCTTTTAAAATGAATGCAATATTTTTATAACCCACAATATATATTTCTAACACAAATTATAAAAATATTAAAGGTATTAAAAACAAAAAATATATATATATTTCAATAATTAAAGTAATATTTCTAAATATATAATTTAAAATGGATAATTTGTTGAAAAAATATGTTCAATAAATCATGTATTATATATTTGTACAAATATTTATTATTTATAAAAATTTATTTATTATTTTTTATAAACCTCAATGTATATTTTAACACAAATTATAAAAGTATCAAATTTATTACAAATAAATAAACATTTATTTAAATATTTTAAGAAATATTTCTCTCTTCTATGATCTATCTATCTATCTATCTATCTATCTATCTATCTATCTATCTATCTATCTATCTATCTATCTATCTATCTATCTATCTATCTATCTATCTATCTATCTATCTATCTATCTATCTATCTATCTATCTATCTATATATATATATCATATATATATATATATATATATATATATATATATATATATATATGTGTGTGTGTGTGTGTGTGTGTGTGTGTGTGTGTATAAATGTGAAATTTATTGAAAAAATATTTTTAAATTATTTTTTATATTTTTAATAAATTGTGTATTATTTATTTGTAAAAAATATTTAATATTTATAATAAATAAATGTTATTTTTTCATAATCATCTCTATATGTTTTTAACACAAATTATTAAAATATATTATATAATTATAAAATATATATTGTAAAATTTTTGGTCAACATTATAAAATTGTACAATAAATAAAATAGTTTAATGAATAATTGTAAATAAAAATAGTTTTCAATAAATTTTATATTACATATTTATAAAAATATTTAATAAATATAAAAAATACATTTAAAATTTGTATAATTCCATATATATTTTAACCCAAGTTATAAAAGTTTAAAATCTATTAAAAATAAATAAATATTTTTGATAAATCTTAGATATTTGTACAAATATATAAAATACAGTTTATTGAAAAATATATATGTATTTTCAATAAATTGTATATTGTATTTGTATAAATATTTTATATTTATAAAACATAAATGTAATATTTTTATAATCCTCTATATATATTTTAACACAAATTATAAAAATATAAAATCTATTAAAAATAAATAAACATTTATTCAAATATTTAAAGAAATATGTACAAGTATATCATATAAAATTTATTGAAAAAAATTTATATAAAAAAAAAAATATTAAATAATTAATAAAAACTTTTTAAAATAATTTTTATATCATATATTTATAAAAATATATATATAATTTTTTCATTTTATTTTATTTTTAATAACACAAATTATAAAAATATAAAATGTATTAAAATATTTATTTTTATTAATTAAATAAATATTTATAAATATATAATGTAATGATGACGCTGCAGGAGTTTGAGCATCAGTGTTTGTTGATCATTATATTCTCAGGATAAAAGTGTGTGTTAATATGTAAATGTAAATGTCATGAAATCATTTGAGAAGATTATAATAAAAGAATTGCGCAAGGAAGTTGAGCCGTACTTAGACCAGTATCAATTTGCATACAAAAGTAACCGTGGCACTACTGATGCAATTTCCACATTAACACATCTTGTTTTAAAACATCTAGAGAGCCCAGTTGCTTATGCTAGGTTACTTTTTATCGATTTTAGTTCAGCATTTAATTCAATTCAACCACATAAACTTTTGGAAAAGCTGGTAAAAATGCAAGTGAACCCTTTTGTTATTAAATGGTTTTATTCTTTTTTAACAGACAGGACCCAGCAGGTAAAATTTAATTCAGGGTTATCTGATGTAGCAACAAGTAGTACAGGGGCGCCACAAGGGTGCGTAAGTTCACCCTTTCTGTTCACCCTCTATACAAACGACTGCGTTAGGCAGCAGACAAACCAATATATTCTTAAATTTTCCGATGACACTGTACTATTGCACCTTTTCACAAAAGATGCCAGCATCATGGAATACAGAGCGGCTGTAGAATGGTTTGTCTGCTGGTGTGATGACCACAATTTGGAAATTAATGTTAAGAAAACGGAGGAGGTCATCATAGACCCCAGGTCAGTAAGTGATAGGAGCTCTATTGTGGTTTATGATAAAGACATTAAGCAGGTTGATTCATATAAATATTTAGGAGTGAACATTGATAGTGAACTTAATTGGCACTCTCAGGTGTCAAGTCTTTGTGCAAGAATTCATCAGCGATTACACTTTTTACGCAGACTAAGATTATTTGGAGTGAGTAGCAGCATAATGATGACTTTTTATAAAGCAACAATAGAGTCTATTTTAAGATATGGGATTATTGTTTGGTTTGGGAATCTGACAGTAAAAATGAAAACCCAAGTAAATAACCTGATGAGAGTGGCAGGAAAAATCATGGGAATTAAGACACTTGGTTCACTAAAAGACATCTTTGAGTTGTGCACAATCCAACAAGCCAACAAGATTTTATCTGATTCTTCACATGTGCTGTCTGTGGAATATGAGCTGATGAATTCTGGCAGAAGATATAGGGTCCCGTTGTGCAAGCATAATAGATTTAAACATTCTTTTGTTCCTTTTTCAATTAAGTTGATTAACGAGCAAGCAAGGAAGGATGGTCAAAGACTAAGATAACAGGATTGGTTTGCACAACAGAGGGCAGTGGGGCATATGGTACTTTAATTATTTTATTTTATTTTATTTTTTTTTATAAAAATTTTATTAAAATTACTGATTTTATGGAATCATATTTATATTAGGAGGTATTTTAGGATTAGATTTTAATGTGTATGTATGTTACATGTTGTCTTGTTGGTGTCGATGTACAGCAGAACCTTTTTTTCTAAAACAAATTTCTCCTACGGGAGACAATAAATTTTACCTTGACCTTGACCTTGACCTTAATAAGAGAAGCAGCTTTGATCTACTGCATTGCTGTCATTATCAGCTTCTGCTCAGAGCAGGAGAATCACAGCAACACACACAAACACGTACGCATACACGCACGCACACACACACACAACAGCTTTTGTTGATCAGATACTGACTTTATAAGGTTCTCCAGCACGAGCCGTGCGTTAGACAAAACCTGCAAACACACAAATAAAACACTTTCATCCATACGTTCAAAAATAATACATATATTTATAAATAATCAGTAATATATTAATAAATATAATGAACATAGTATTAATAAATATTAAATATGTAATTAATAATAATACAAATCACAGCATATGAACAAACTTGTAAATACAGCCAAGACTTGAACCAGCGACCTTCTTGCTGTGAGGTCACAGTGCTAACCATTGAGCCACTATGTCGCCCCAGAATTCAACGGCCAGAGCTCTCTGCAGTGATTGTGTGTGTGTGTGTGTGTGTGTGCGCGTGTGTGTGTGTGATAAAGGTGTTTTTGTTGTTGTGTGTCTACTAGAGCTCAAAGTCTACAGCAGAACCTTATAAACATGCCGAGATACAGAGTGATCATAAGCACAGCTGACCTTTGACCTGGAGACACACACACACACACACACACACAAACACATGTTGGAGACCTCAGGGACTTACATCTAGTGTAAAAGGGAGTATAATAGGACCCTTTTTAACACAAGTACTGCACTTGACTCAGTTTAAGTTGAGTCAACTTAAAAACCTCTGCAGCAAGTTGCCTTACGATTATCTCTGTAGTTTCTGATTTCTGTTTCATATTTCCTCCAGCCGAAATCTCTCAAAAACAGCCGCTTTTCTGCTTGACTTTAATAATTCTCATTAATAGATTCAAAGCACTTTCGGACACTCAGTGGGAATACGGTCGGAGAAAGCGAGGTACTGTTAAAAGCCAAATCCACAGAGAGCGAGGATACGGAAAGCGGATTAATGCTGATTTCTCATTTGCTTTCCAGGCTTTGAAGACGCGGCTGGTTTTCTCTCAGGCTGAAATACATGTTTATTTTTAGAGGACGTCTGACATTTCCAAAGCAAATCCCTGCCAGTGTTTGACTGTCGATTATACTGCTGAAGGACAGTTTGTGTTCTGACTGACACTGCATCACTTCTGTTGATCGTCCTCGGTTTAATAACAGTGTATTTGTAGAGACGCAGACGCTGTTAGTGGGTCAAAGGTCACTTCAGGACACACTCCAGTTCGCTTGAGGACAAAGATCAATCACACACTTCATAAACTACAGTCGGTTTTATACAGTTTGTGGCTACAGCTTTGGGATAAAAAATAAATAAAATAAAATAAATAAATGAAATGAAAATAAATGTAAAAATAAATAAATAAATAAATAAAATAAAATAATGTAAAAATAAAATAAAATAAAATAAAATAAAATAAAATAAAATAAAATAAAATAAAATAAAATAAAATAAAATAAAATAAAATAAGGCGCAGGCACTGTTAGTGGGTCAAAGGTCACTCAGGGACACACTCCAGTTTGCTTGAGGACAAAGATTAACCACACACTTCATTAACTTCTGTCAGTTTTATACAGTTTGTAACAGCGGCTTTGGGATAAAATAAAATAAAATAAAATAAAATAAAATAAAATAAAATAAAATAAAATAAAATAAAATAAAATAAAATAAAATAAAATAAAATAAAATAAAATAAAATAAATAAAATAAAATAAAATAAAATAAATTAAATAAAAAAATAAAGTAAAATTAAATAAAATTAAATAAAAAATAAATAAAAAATAAAATAAAATATTAAAAAATAAAATAAAATAAAATAAAATAATATAATATAAAATAAAATAAAACTATTAAAAGTCACTTTGGATTTTAAAAAAATATATTAAAATGAAAAAAATTGAACATTAATGTTTAAGCTTAAATGATAAAATAGTTGTTTTTCAGCAATTAAAATAAGGCTGACATTCAATATTAATATGACAAAAACATATAAAATATGACATAATGTAATGATAATAAAATATAATATCAACATCTAAAGCTTGTAATTGGTCGTCTCTGCGTAAATGGATCAAATATTTTATTTACATCTCCTCCTTTAGGTTCTCATCAAATCTTCTGACTAATCAAATGCTCTCTACTAACATGCCCTGCCGCCTTCAAGATTCTTCACATTTAATATGCTTCAGTTCAATCAAAACTCACTGGTAAAACGGTGATAAAACAAAATGCTATTGGCTGTTTTTTTTTTTAAAGGGGAGGAGCTCTATGTCCCTCTCTTTATGATATCGAATAAAAAGGCACATTTCCAATCCCTGCACAGGACCTTTAAAGTTAGATTTTTCAGTGCTGCTTATTCCAGCTTTCCTTCTAGACTTCAGAAGCTCATCTGAGGACAAACAGGTGGAGAGACTCAAGCAGACGGAAATAAACTGGTGGAGGCTGCAGGACAGCAGTGTGTCAGAGTTTATGATGTTCAGGTATACACACAAACACACACACACAGAATCTAAATATAGACTGATCTCACAATACACTGAGTCCAGGACAAAACTGCACTCACAGCCATTCTGCAAACTAGGTGAGGGTGATGCTGACGAAAAGCATGCAGTAGACATTTTTGTGATATCAATAGTTCAATATTTTCTGAGTGTGTTTTTGTGCTGTTTTAGGACTGTCATTGGTAAATAAACATAATACAAGTGTCATATTAATGAGTGATTCATCAGTTCATTCATTCATTCAAAGGATTCTTTCTAAATGCCTGATTCAGGGATTAGGGATTAAAAAATCTATTTCTCATTTCTTTCATTACGGTTCTAACTATTCGAATTGATTCCATAAAGTTTAAATACATTTTTAATACAAATATAACACTGTACTCTATGATAAATGTATAATCTAATATTGCTTCCCTATTACTGCAAACCCTAAAAAAAAACTAAAACTATAAAAATAAAACTGCAAGCTAATATAACGCTGACATGAAACATTGATATGACATAAACATACAAAATATGTTGGATACAATTTTTTAAAAATGAAACAAATGAAACAAATTTTTTTAATAAAATAAAATTATTAAATAAAATTAAATTAAATAAAATTTAAGTATAATACTTTTTTTAAATAAAATGTATTTCTCATTTCTCTTTCGATTCCAAAGTTAATGTTTTGGATAATAAATAATACATTTTTGTGGATAAATAAATATAACATTGAAATCGCCAGTAGGTGGAGACTAGTGCCTGTGTTAACTATTGAATCATCGAATCGAATCATCCATTCAAATGAAATGATTCATTTAGAAAACTAAAAAAACAAACAAAAACAATTAAATAAAACTGCAAGCTAAAATAAAGCTGACAAGAAATATTAATATGACATAAACATATAAAATATGTTGGATAAAAAAATTAAACAAATAAAATGAATTTTAATTTAATTTAATTTAATTTAATTTAATTTAATTTAATTTAATTTAATTTAATTTAATTTAATTTAATTTAAGCACATCGCATTTTTGCCGCCATATTTTACTGTAAAAATAACATTATTTTAATCTCTAAATTATGGACATGTATTAGCTAAAGTTGCTTCTCTATTACTGCTAACCCTAAAAAAGAGCCTGTTAAATTCTATATTCGCGTATTGACTCCAGAAGACATAGAATGAAATGCACAACTTGCATGACCTACGATTATGGTGCAGTTTTGTGAACATGAATTTGCATACGCACTCACCAGCATGACCACACACCAGTTGAGGATTCCTCTGTAGTTGCTAAAACCACTGGCCGAACTGAGCAGTGACTCCTGCAGCTTGTGACAGCTAAAAACACACACAAAAATCTGTGAAACTGATGAAAAGTGAACATATAGACACAGAAGCCCACAAGAAACCAGATCCTATAGTAATTTATAGTAAATAGAGTTTTTAAACAATTTAATTATTAACGGTTTAATTTTATAGTTGCTATGGTAACACAACAACTATAGGAAAGTATTTAAATTAATCTTTTGTTAGTGATTATACAGTTGCTATGGTAACAACACCTGTAGTAAAGTAATTGAATTAATCTGTTGTAGTAATTCTAAAGTTGCTATGGTAACAATAACTATAGTAAAGTATTTTAATTAATTCGTCATCGTGATTCTATAAAAGCTATGGTAACACAACAACTATAGTGAAGTATTTTATTTAATTGGTCGTCATGATTCTATAGTTGCTATAGTAACACAACAACCTTAGTAAAGTATTTTAATTAATTGATCGTCATGATTCTATAGTAGCTATGGTAACACAACAACTATAGTAAAGTATTTTAATTAATTGATCGTCATGATTCTATAGTAGCTATGGTAACACAACAACTATAGTAAAGTATTTTAATTAATTGATCATCATGATTCTATAGTTGCTATGCTAACACAACAACTATAGTAAAGTAATTGAATTAATCTGTTGTAGTGATTCCACAGTTACTATGGTAACATTAACTATAGTAAAGTATTTTAATTAATTGGTCATCGTGATTCTATAAAAGCTATGGTAACACAACAACTATAGTAAAGTATTTTAATTAATTGATCATCATGATTCTATAGTTGCTATGCTAACACAACAACTATAGTAAAGTAATTGAATTAATCTGTTGTAGTGATTCCACAGTTACTATGGTAACATTAACTATAGTAAAGTATTTTAATTAATTGGTCATCGTGATTCTATAGTAGCTATGGTAACACAACAACTATAGTAAAGTATTTTAATTAATCGGTTGTCATGATTCTATAGTTTCTAATGTAACATAACAATAGTAAAGTATTTTACTTAATCGGTCGTTGTGATTCTATAGTTGCTATGGCAAAACAAAAACTATAGTAAAGTGTTTGAATTAACCTGTTGTGGTGATTCTGTAGTTGCTATGGTAACACAACGACAATAATAAAGCATCTGAATTAATCTGTTGTGGTGATTCTATAGTTGCTATGGTAACACAACAACTATAGTAAATTAGTTTAATTAATCTGTTGAGGTGATTCTATAGTTGCCATGGTAACAACAACAACTATATCAATATAATAAAATGCCCAAATACTGTAGTTTGCTACACCTACTACAATACACCACAGTTTACTGCAGTAAAAACATAAAGTAAACTACAGTATTTATTACAGTTTATCTAACAGTTACAACTACAGTATATGCTGGACTGCTCATTAACAATGGGTTGTAATTAGGCTACAATAATGTACTATAATACAATTATTACTATGATGATTTAAAATCACTGCAGCATTTACTATAGTATTTTTACATAACTGCTAATAAAGGCTTCAAACTAAAATGCCTAAAATGTATTAAGACGCTGCGAATGCACTGACTACAAAGCATAACATATCAATCAAGAGTAATTTACTTTAAAGAGAAAGCATTATGAGAAAAGATGCTGCATTCCAGTGCATTTACACTAGATTTGAATGTTGCAATCTGACGCAATGACATTCAGACATTCACAAGTGAGTTTCTAAAACTCTGAGGACTGGCCGATGTTGAAATGGGTGATGAAATGGGTTTGAGCAACCGTTTGTGTCTTCAGAAAAAGAGCTGAAGGAGTGGCTGATAACGGTTATTACAGAATGATTCTGATCTTATCATTAATCAGTGATTTCTGACAGCAGCTCACTATGAGGAGAGGCTCGACCTTCACACCTTCACCTCAGAAGATCTGCTTCAACTCAAATCTGGAGCATTTAGGCTAAAAGTCAACATCCAATAAACTCCATTCTCTAAACTCTAATCTCAGTCTGTTATCAATTAAGCATTCATCATAAGGTTTAACATCTATTAACAACCTTAATTTTGACATTTATTAATAACTAATATATTTTTCCTTTTTTTAATATTTAATTAAAAAATGTAAATAAACATTTTGGAAACACTTTAGTTTAAATACCAATTGTCACTGTTAAATAGTGGCTTATTACCTGCCTATTATTAAAATATTATCTGTTAATTCTGCATCCCTAGTCATAACCAATACCTAAACCTTACTACAATCTTAACAAATACTATTAAACACAAATTAGGAGTTTGAGCTAAAAGTCAGTTAATAGCTTGCTAAAAGCGAGAATTGCACCATAAAATAAAGTGAGCAAATATTTTCTACTAACAAAAGTGAACAAAGAAAAACTGTTCATGTTATTTACTGCACTACATGAGTCTATAGTAACCCGACTGACTTTGTTTGCTCTTTTTCTTTGCAATAAATTAAAGGGATAGTTCCCACAAAATTTAAAATGCCCTTGTTTATTCTCCTGTTTTAAACCATTATGAGTTTTTTTCTTCTGCTTAACACAAAAGAAGATATTTTGAAGAATGTTGCTATACCTCTAATGCACAACGTGTGTCTAAACTGACCCCATATTAATTTCCTAATGCTATTTCCAACATGGCAGAGAGTTTGAAAGAAATTCCATTCATTTTCCTTTGGCTTAGTCCCTTTATTCATCGAGGGTCGCCACAGCGGAATGAACCGCCAACTTATCCAACATATGTTTTAAACAGCGGATGCCCTTCCAGCTGCAGCTGCAACCCAATACTGGGAAACACCCATACACACTTATTTACACACTCATACACTACGGCCAATGTAGTCATCAATTCCCATACACCGCATAGGTTTAGACTGCTGGGGTAACCGGAGGAAACCCACGCCAACATGGGGAGAACATGCAAACTCCACACAGAAATGCTAACTGACCCAGCCGGGAATTAATTAATTTATTTATATATTAATAAATAAATAAATAAATAAAATTTATAAATAAATAAATTAATTAATTATTTTAATTATTTCTTTAATTAATTAATTAATTAATTTAAATACCTATAAATATAAATTAATTTATTTATGCAGCTATCAGCTCTCATGAAAAAAAAGATTATAGTAATTTATATTACTAATTACTATGTTTTTTTAACAACACTATAGTAAAATACTTGAATTAATTTGTTGTGGTGATTCTATAGTGGTGCTATGGTAGCACAACAACCACAATAATTTAAACAAATGATACTGTAGTATTCTACAACATATATTACATCACAGTTTTCTGCAGTAAAAACGAAAGTATACTACAGTATTTATCACAGTATGCTGAAGCATTCGTTAATAATGTAAATATTATCATATATACCTAATACACTTTGTAATATAGCCTAGCGTAATATAGCCTAATACACTTTACTATAGTATGATTAAAAAAACACTAAATTAAAAAAACGTATTAACTAAAAAACACTATAGTATTTTTTTTTTTACATGGGAGTAATTTAATACAGATTCCAAATTAATTACATAATGAAAAATATCTAAACAGCAAAACAGAATTAAACCATAATATAAAGATAATATATTGTAATATAATATAATCTAATATAATACAATACAATACAATATAATATAATATAATAAATTATAATATAATATAATATAATATAATATAATATAATATAATATAATACAATATATAATATTAAAAATATAATATAATAAAATATAATATAATATAATATAATATAATACAATATAATATAATAAATATAATATATAATATTAAAAATATAATATAATATAATATAATATAATGTAATACAATACAATATAATATAATACAATATAATATAATAAATATAAT